CAAAAATAAACACTTGCAGGCATCGGCATCGGCATCGGTATCGCCATCGCCATCGGCTTCATAATAATGATACATAGCATAGTTGGGGCTCAAGTGAGTGGCAGGGCGCACTCCATGTCTGTCTGGGCTGCTCCTTGATGAGCAGTTACCCTGAGACCCTCAGAGCTAGAGTCGGTCGTCTCCAGCATTGTCTGGCAAGATTCTCATAATTAGGCGGGCTGAAGGACAGTGGGTGCTTTCGGTATAAAACCAGGAAAATACTGCAATAAATTTGCACCGCTAAACAATCTTCTTTCAATCAATACGAAAGAGTTGCAGGTTTCTTTGGAACAAAGTATTATCTAATTACATATCTTGATTCACCAAAATTCCTATTAAACACTTAGCATCCATTGACCTACGATTAATTGGGCTATTTCCATTGTCCTTGGCTGCTGGCTCGCTAGCTACTCATCTGTAAAAAGGCTGCCGTGGACGAAAATCAATAAAAACCTGGCCAAAATGGCATTCGCACCATTCCAGTTTGTCCGATTCCCCCCCTTTCACACTGCGTTCCAGCTCCGAGCTCGTTTGGCATTCACAGAGGATGTGGATAAGGATGAAGATGGGAATGGGGAGGGAGGAGCAATTAACGCTGAATTGATACGCACAGCTCGGGCAAGGAAAGGCAAGCCATTGAACCTTATTTCACTCATCGAGTCTGGGGCGACGGGGAGAGTGGGCGATCGTAAGCGTTGGCATTAAGACGTAATTAAAACAACGCCAAATGGGAGCAGAGTCCGCGGCCCAGAACCCTTTTAAGGAAAAGGAGAGAAGAGAAGAGTAGGGAAAGGGAAAGGAGTCAAAAGATTATTTGTATTTAATTTCAAGTACTCCTCTGCCAGGAAGCCACTGCTCCACTCCACTCCCCACTCCCCACTCCCTCCTTCCTCTTGGGGCAGGGACAATTTCTCCGCTTTCCCTTTATATAAAACTCAATTATAATTAAGCATTTAAGTGGAAATAAGCATAGCTGGAGCAAATGAAGCGAACTCCACCCGCTCCGTAGTGGAGTATCGACTTGGGGCAGCGACAAGGACAACAAGGATGCTCGACTCGGGGCCATTTTTTATTAGTGGTAGCCAGCATCCTAATTGCGCAAGGACTTACTCAAAGTTTTGGGCAATGAAAAGAAGCTGGTGGAGGTTGAACAGGGGACCAGAACACGGGAACACGAGAGCACGAGAAGGCATAAGGCAGTCAGTATTTAATTATCGCTCGTTCATTGCTGGTGATGCAGGATACTGTTACACAAGACACAAGAGTCCCGTTGCCATGCCATTGGATTAATTGTTACGTCAACTCATTTCATTTACATCCACCATCCACCATCCGCCAATTCCACTTGCATAACGTAGTGTGTCCAGGGGAATCCCGCCCTCTTCCTCCACCCTGCTGATCAAAAGCGAGGAGTATCTCAATTAGTGAGCGCCTGTCATATCCTTGAAGGACGGCAACACAGCCGGCGCGAGATATAAACGAAATATGTATTACGGCCCCTGGGTCAGCCAAATAGGTCAACGATTTGTATAGCCGGAGATTTTATTTAGTTTTTCCCATTTTCAACTGGCATTTCCCGGGCCAGCCAAGTGGATAAATATGTATCGTACGACAGCTGACAACACGCTGCCCAAAAAGAAGGTAAAATGGAATGGAAAATGCAAAATGCAAAATGGAAAATGGACTGGACTGAAGTGAAGCCTAATGAAATGCCCACGAGATGAAAATAAGTTCTATGATGTGAAATTTAAATGAACTTTTAAACGTAATGAAAGTAATTTTCAAATTGCAACCGAGGAACAAAATTTAGCGCAAAAAGAAAAAAAAGGGAAGCCATAGAAGGGTATCAGAGGGTATTCGTATTTTGTACACCATTTGTGATAAAAGAAAAATGTATTTATGTATATATAATTTGACGCAAATATGATTTGTACATTTAACAAAATTTAATTTAAAACTCCTTGCGTACGCGACAGAAATTTATTGGCTTAATAAAGTTTCGAAAAAAATATATCGTGAACTAATATTGATCAAATTTTCTGGAATTTTTGTCGATAGTTCAATATTATAGAGTGACTTTGAGGAAAAATTGTATCAGGAATTATCGTTCTTATAGGAGAAAATAGTAAGGTGAAGTTTTGTTTATTTAAATAGGTTTTCAGATCAAAGTTAATGAAATTATATTCCAATTGCTTAAATTAGCTGAGTTTCAATAATTTTAGAAAATAATATCGTTACACAAGTATATGGAAATGTCTTTTATTGACTTTAGATTTGTTGGCCTCGGTTGACATTTCCACGAAATGCGCATATATTTTAAATATATTTATATATCGGATTTAAAAAAATATCGGATCACTATCGTATTCCAAGTTAGAATATGCGATACTTTTCGATAAGCACCACCTTTCAATTTTAATCACCCTTATTTGTGATCCCTGGTTTCAACCATTCTATATCAGCCTATCTATATAACAGCCATTCTATATATTCAGAAAAATCTGAAAAAAACTATAATGAGTTTTTCCTATATCTACGAACGATGGGTATCTGAAGACTCGGCAGCCATCCCTAGTTAGCTTGTTTTTTTTTTGCTTGTTCTTGTTTTTCTTTCGAGCTCTTTTTGGTCAAAGTCCAATGAAATTCAATTGCGGCAGAAGCCGAGGCGGGTCGGGCAGGGACGGTCGGTCGGTCTCTTGCAACTTTTGTGCGTCCTTCAGACAGACCAAACCCCCCGCAACCGGCACCAATCCCCACACCAATCGCAAACCGAAGCCGAAGCCAAAGGAAACGGGGTTTCGGCTCGAAATGATTTCAAAATGGCATTGAATGTAGCATTTAATTTGTACGCCACAGTCGTCCTGGCTGCGGGTTCTCGGTCCTGCTCCTGGTCCTTGGCCTCTTGCCTTGCTATTTATAACTGTTTATTTGCCGTGTGCGCCAGGAGCTGGCTGCAGCTGCTCTGGCTCTTTGCTCTGAAAAAGGATTAATTAAACTGACAACTGACGTCTGTGGGTCGTTGTGGGTGGCGGAGGGTGGCTGCGGGTGGCTGTGGGTGGCTGTGGGTGGCTGTGTATGGGGTTACTCTCACATTCTCTCTATCTTACTTTCTGCCCCGTCTTTGAAGCCGGAGTTCGGCATAATTAGTTAAATGTGCTTTGCCATAACAATGAGGAGAGTCCTTGACTCGACTCGCTCTTCACAGTTCTTTTAATATCCTGTCCTAGAATTCATGGCAGGAGAGGACCTCTCTAATTGCTGAAATATGTATTAATAATTGGCCCGGGCAGAAAATGTTAAATAAAATTAATTAACTGCACAGCAACAACAGCAAATCAGCCAAGTACGGTCGACAGGCAGCTGCTTACATTTTATTTACAGTTAGTCATTTTATGTGGGCGAACACACACACACACGCAAACGCACACTCCCACTGCTAGTCCTACTTCGTAGTCTAGTTATCCGACCGAAGGATACCCCGCTAGCCGTATTTCTTATTAAATATTTATAAATGGTAATTATTATGGGAGAACTACGAGTATATACAGAAGAGCAGGAGGAGGAACAGACACAGAGGATATTTACAGAGGTTGCTATAAATATTACTAGATCATGGATCGTTACGAGCTATGTCCGAGGGCCGTTCAATAAGTACGTGGCTTTATGAACGAAACACAGGTTTTTGGATAAGAAAATCATGTCATTTTTCAACATAGTCGCCTTTTAGCTCCAAGAACTTTCTCGAAGTTTTTGAGAAGTCAAATCTGTGTCAAACCTTCCAAAAAAAGACGATTTGTTAAGGTCCGTTTGAGGTGAGGTGGTGGAAAGAAGTATACAATACGATAATTAGCTCTTCCTATGGAAGGTATTCCACACCCATATAATATGCCCTTCTGCTCTAAGGATACCCTGTAACAAAGCTTCTGCCGCTTATTTGCCAGCAATTAAGTGCGCCGAAAGAGATGCAGATACGATACTCATTTCAAATGGCGCCAGCGGGGTATCTGTGGCTTTGTGTGTGTGTGGTTATCACTGTCTCAGTGTGTGTGTATGCCTTTTAATTAGAAACTTGTACATTTTGCCTAATTTGACAAATTGTTTTAATGCAGTGTGCAAACTTTTCGGCTACATTGCGACACAAATTAGTTTTTGGGCGGCGGCGAACAGAAATTGGGTCGAGTCGAGCCAAAACGGACAACTTGCAGAAGGAATAAAACCAATCAAAGGGGGTTTCAACCAGCAGTTTGATGAGCCACCGCCGAGCCGCGCGCAAAGCTATGCAACATACTCGTAAAGGCACTATCCGATGCAATATCCATGCATCCCAGGGATTATTATGAAGCCATTATTCTTCTCCTGCCACCGCCTGTGCCTGCTCAACACTTAATTGTTTCTGCTGTTGACGTTGGCCTGGCGTGGCAGCTCTGTAGCAACTTCCTGTGGGGCAAGTTGGTATATTTTTGGCAGCTAATTAGCGCCCGTGGCAGCCACAGTCTCCAGTGTTTGCAGGACAGCCCTAAGAGTGGGTGGTAAACACCAAAGCAGCGGTCTTCAAATCACATGACACAAATGCGCTTTGCAGTTCCCATAATCCCCTTGGAAGCGAAATTATATTGTAGCGGAATTCTCCTACAATTGCTGCAGTTTTCGAAAAGTACCTGCTTCATGGACGCACATAATAGTATTTATAAGGAATTTAACCCAATTTTTGTTGCCTTTTGCCTAATGATGCCCCAGGCCCCCATTTTAGGACGCGTGCATTCATCATCAAACGGCCGGATTTTCTGGGCCGTGCCGTGGCAAAATAAACAAGTGTTTTGTGTGCATTTTTCGAATGCATTGCGTTTTCCGAAATTTACTTTATGGGATTTTGTTTACACTCAGAATCGGTACTCAGAATCGAACAGATTGGCCAAAATGATTACATGGTATAAGTAGATAATAAATAATTAAAGTACAAATTGAAACAGAACAAAAAAAATATTTAAATCTCAATCTATGATGGGATGCGATCTGGGCGAGATGGCTAAGGAGCCACCTTATTGATGCTCAGCTTTTCGTAGAGTTCGTTCAGCTCATCCTTCTGGTGGGACATGGCCATGGCGCGCTGACAACGTTCCGTCCAGGCCTCTGGATAGTCAATGGCCATTTTCTCCAGGCTCTGTTCCACAGCGATTTTGATGTTCTTTTCGGGGCTCTCGTGGTAGAGTAGCATCAAATCCATGGCACGCTTCACAACTGCCTCCCAGACCTCGTGCTGGTGCTGAATCTCCTCGTCGGAGTCGCCCTTGAAGATGGGCGACAGGCTGCCGACCGCCAGGGCAGCCATCGAGCGTATGCCCGCCGAGGGATCGTCCAGGCGCTGCATGGTGGCATAAGCCAGCGGCTTAAGCTCCTCCACGGACAAGCCCCGGAAGTAGCGCACCGTCTTGATGGCATAGTTTCGGGTGTTCGAATTGCGGTCTTCGAGGAGGCTGGGCATATGCTTCACCAGCGACGGCAACACCTCGAGCACATCCTCCGGGGCACTCTGGGCGAGGGCGCACAGTGTGGCCATGGCCAGGGAGCGCATGGACTCGGAACTAGCGCCAGCCTTCCAGGTCAAATACGGCTCCACAATCTCCGTGACGAAGATTTTCATCATGGTCGGCTCGTCTGGCGCATCGTCGTGTGGTGGTGTCAGTGTGCTCGACCAGAGAAGCGCTGCCATGGAGAGACTGCTAAAGATGCGAATTTGTGCGTTGGCAGAGCAATTTTCAAAGACGATCTTCACCCGCTCGATGAGGCGCTTCAGGTAGGAGCGCCGAAGGTGACAGATGTTGATGAGTCCGTCCAGCAGAAGGATCGGCTCGGCATTATCCTCCAGGACGGCGTCCAGGTTCTCCACGTCCCTCAGTGCCATTTCGAAGTAGCGTTCGTGCAGCTGGGCCAACGTTACCTTCTGGAGCTGAGCGATACGCTCAAGGACCATTTGACCAACATTGGGGTCGGCATTGTCGCTGTTCAGGGAGTAGCCCAGCGCCACGACCTTTATGCCAACGATATACACGGTCATGTAGAGTTCGTCGAGCTCCTCCTCAGTGGCTGTAGCCTCTAGAGACTTGTTCAGTATGGTGTCCAGCAGCTTTAGGATGTACAACTGGAAGCCCGGCTTCAGGGTGTGCGAGTACTCGGTGGCTCTCAGGAGCTTGCACAAGCGCATGAGGTGCTCAAAGCAGGCGCTATTGGAGGCCGTGAACATGTAGTAGAAGCACTTCATGTACGACTCGCGAGCATTGCGCTGCAGTCCATCGAAGCCGTGCTCGATCCAGGCGTCGTAGCAGAGCAGGCGACCCATCAGATCGGCCACCTTGGCCGCCTCGGCACTGACCTCAGCCACGGAATCGCAACAGGCATGAGACACATCCGGATAAATTTCATAGAACTTAGCCGTCATGGCCGCCTCGGCATGGACCACGAACTGGTACAGCAGCTTCAGCGAGTGCAGACGGACATTGTCCTTCCAATCGGTCGTCTCGCGAGTGATCAAGGTTAGCAGACGCAGGGAGCGCTGCACCAGTCCACGGCAGCCAATCGTTGGACGCTTGACATTCTTTGGGTAATTATCCACCGGCAGATCGCAGATCTCCTGCTGCGACAGCTCCGCCTCGTTCTCCTCGTAGTACTGCTTGCCGCATTTGACCCACAGCGGATGGATGTGGTTGCGTACATCCGGGGAATCGTCCTTCAGGCAGCACAGCACCAGCGGTAGGATCCGCTCAAAGAAGGAGTAGCGATCAAGCAGATCCATTAGCATCAGGACTCCCATTATTCCGACCTCGCGCCGCACCAGTGGCATCCGATCCATCAGGAGCGGCGACACCTCGCCGAATAGGCGGCGCATGCTCTCGGCGCTGGCATCCATATGCAAACTGAGACGTCCCAGTGCCTCCACGGCCGAGATGCGGGCCGGCGCGTGCTTGTGATTGAGCATTCCGTACAGGGCCACAGCCAGCTGTTCCGTGAAGGGACGAATCTCTGTGGTCTCGGCCACACGGCAAAGAGCCACCAGGGTGGAGCAAGCCTCGCGCTGCACCACTGGATAGTCATCCTTGAGGGCCTTGATCAGCACTTTGACCACCAGATGATAGCACTCGCGGAAGACTCCCACGTTGCCCATCTTCGCATACTTGCGCACCATCAGATGCAGCTGTCCAATGTACAGATAGCGTATCTCCTCGCTGGGCTCCACCGTCTCGGCCTGTCCCATGCGCTCCGTCAGTGTGGAAACCACATTCAGGAGATTGAAGTCCATCGGCGGCAGGCGGTCCAGGTAGGCATCCACCAGACGCACAGCACCGTCGCGCACGCTCTCGAAACGGTCGTGGTAGCACTTGAGCAGATGCAGATACAACCGATCGAAGTATTGGGCCAAAAGCTCCGTGCTGTTATCGTACGAGTTGTTCTCGACCCAAACGAGCATATGCTTCAAAGTCATTGTCTTGTGGACTCTGTCCGTGGACTCCAGGTCCTTGCATGTCTTCTTAGTATTTTCCTCGATTTCCTCGTGGTTTATTGTCGACATTTTTGTAGAAAATCGAAAATCGTTACAGTACTGTGATATTTTTGTAAAACTCGACACGAACTCGATCTGATTCCCAGCTAAGTCTGCTGTAAAATGAGAATGGAGAGGCGTTAGGAAGGCGACAATAGCAACAACAAACGAGGCGGTTGCTATGATTACGAACTTTCTAGATGGAACTAAATATATGCTATAAACCGGGAAACGTACAAAAGCCGACTTTGTCCGTATGTTCGTCCGTATAAAACATAAATTTCCAAGCAATACATAATTGTATTTTCCACGCGTAAACTGTAAACATTACTCCCAGAATAATCACCGATTCTTTCCCTGTGTTGGCCCTCTCTTTATCCAAGGCGTCACTTTTTAGCTGTTTAAATACTTTCTTTCGCGCTTTTCCTATGTCATTCCTTTCGTGAAATCACACAAATGCGCCGGCTAATCCGAGTAGTAACTATCTTCAATTGTTAAACACCTTTTCTTACATTAATTGCCAAGTTTTCACATTGTTTATTTTGTTTAAATAAAGCGTGCCGCGACGTGACCGTGGCAACAGCTGTGGCTTAGTGCTGCGAAATATTCGCATATTAGCCGGGGGCAGTGTTGTAAAGTGAAGCCTGGGCGCGCATTTCGAAAGCTCTGTTGGATTGTTTGATCTGTTCGCCTTTGATCGTTTATGTATTTGCTGAGCTAATTAAGAAACTATAAATGATATTTCTGTGGAAACTTGAGGTTGTTGCGGCTGCGGCTGCTCTTTTATGAGCTTCGCTCAGCGGCGACCCATAAAAGCTGTGCAGGCACGCCTCTGGCCGTCGTCGTCGGCGGCTTCTCTCCTCTCCTTATCTTTGAGGCCGGGCGACTATCTAATTGCGATGTCGTTCCTTATCAACATCGGGGTTCCAACAGCGGGGCGACAATATCTAAGATTGATTGGCCGCGCACCGGCTTTGGGGGTGGGTTCGCTTTGACTGACTGACTGACTGACTGGCTGATTGGCGGGGGGCTTGCGATGGAAGGAAATCACATAAAATGTCTATTTTTATCGCAACTTAATTGCATTTGTGGGTCACTAAAATTTTGGTTATAATAAACACACAGAAAATGAGTTTTGGGGCTGGGCTGGGGTCGGAGTGGGAGATAAGCACAATGGCATTATCTATATCTTACTGATATTATGTTTTAATAGTTAATTGATGGGTTCGGCGTGCCTTATGAAGAAGCCAGAATATAACTAGCCGATGAATGGGGAATAGATTACTGGATGGAAGTTTTGTTTTTTGTTGGATTGTGGGAAGATCTTTTTTTTATAAAGAACTTTTATTAGCAATCACAGATTTGATGACGGTGATGCTTAAAAACAAAAAGAGGCAGCATGAAAGACGATCTCTTTGTTTTGTTAAACAATCTGCTACTCTTAAAATAAATTTTTATTTAATAGATACCACAGAAGATACTTTTCTAGGAAAGTAATCTTCTTGCTAGATTGTGGGGAAATTTATTGCTATATTTATCTACTCGTTACTGATATTTTGTTGAACTAAAGAAAGTATTCTATACCATATATTTGTGGGTGTGCTTCACACAAGAAGAAATAGAATGATATATGAAAATGAATAATCTTTAAAACATAAAGTACAAGTTTGAAAGAATCTCTTGCGGATTATGTAGGGAATGTTTGAGGCAATCAATCTTGAAAGATTACTACATTCTCTTCCCAATTTGTGGGAAAATCTCCTATTAGATTTAGGGAAATCTGAAGATATCCCCTCACTCTTCTCATAGGAATGTGCGGTCTTTAATAATCTCTTCCCAGATTGTTGATTGCTCCTATACGACTGGTGTGGTGTGCCTTCTACGAGTGGATACGAGTATCTGTTGATCTTTCCGTTTGAATTTTATTCAATGCCTGTGCGGAATTTTTTCAATTTCCCTTTCGGTATCCCCATTTCTCTGTGTGTGTGCCCCTCTATCCGTGTTTGTTGCACGATTGGCGTGCCCAGGTCCCCGGCATATTTTATGAGTGTTTCCCCCTTGTTGTTGTTGTTATTTTTTTTGTACCTACTGTCAAAAATTGTTGCTGTCATTTTTATTGAAAGCCAGCACTGTCGCTGTCGCTGTTGCCAGCCTGGGCAGCGTCGCAGTCACAGTCACAGTCGCAGATACAGATACAGATACAGATACACCAGCGCACTTATACGAGTATGCTTTGTTGCTCCCATTTGTGTGCACAATTCGATTTCATACCTTTTTGTTTGGGGGCTGCCTGCTCCGTCAGCAGTGGAGATGGGGGTCTGGGTCTGGGTATGGGACTGGGACTGGGTTCAGACACGGCACACGCTCCAAAGCAATTAAGCGCATGAATCAGGTTCGTTCGGGCTCGTTCGGATCGTTCGGTTTTGCAGGGCCACGGACGCGGACGCAGACGCGGACGCCGCGGATGTACGGATGTATCTGTGTATCCGTGAGTGCGGCGTGCGTTATTTCTTTTGCACTCACTGTGCTGTTTTTCTTTCTTTTTTATATAGAGCGGGTACGGGAGTAAGGAAGAGGTACGATACAATCACCGGCACAATACTTAATTGATATGAAATGAAGTCATTTGGCAAAATCACTGGGAGAGTAATGGACCGACCGACCCGCGTTCATTCAATTTTGATTTGATGTCGGCCCGGCCAGTTCCACAAGATATGCACGGGATATACATAGGACATACATACATATGTACGTATGTATATTTTTGTATATTTTCGTATATCGACTTTTCGAAACTGTACCGTACGACAGTACAGACAGTGCCATGCCTATATTTCGGTCGGAAAAAAGAGTTTCAATTAAAAATAACATTTTGGGAGCTTGGGGCCGCTGGCAAAAAGTGCGGAAGCCGCCTGACTGCTGCATTCGTGGGATGCGAATGCGAATTGGCCCGCTCTGTCGATAAAGCCAAAAAGCTGACTGGCTTATAACAGTCATAATTATTAATTAGACACAGATACTCGTACAAACATATCTGTGAGTGTGTGTGTGTACGTTTATACAGATGCAAACACGACTTGCCGGCAGAGGCAGGAGGCAGAGGCAGGAGGCAGTGGCTGTGGCACTTAAATGGACTTGTTACACAGTCGAGCGGTTACCAGAGACGGGGACTGGGGGACTTGGGGACTGGGGACGGAGCTGCATGCAAAATGCAAATTTACCAATTGATATTGATTGAATTGCCAACTGCCAGAGCAGGCTAGAGAGCTAGCGGAATGGAGCCGTCGGGACTGGGCCTGGGACCTGGGACCTGGGACTGTGACTGGAGCCGGCGACTGTAAACGCTAATTAGTTTTATATTTCAACTGGCCGCTTAAGTGAATGACGGACTGGTCGACCGACGAACCGCGTCACTTACTCGAAACCCAGTTGATTGAGTAGTGAGTGTTTTATACTCGTACTCGGACTCGGATTCGTCATTAAATACCACATATCCAGAGCACTACTTCGGGTATACTGTATTCACGCAAGTGGAAGACCATTTAGGGAGGCTATAAAAACCCCATGTGCTGATAAAGTTCTGGGGTTATCTTCCTCAAAAATTCAAGAAAAACCCCTCAAGATATGGCACACTTATCAAATCTAACTCGTATTATCTACTGATATGATCCATATTTCGGATATTAGATAAGCCCCTTGAGACGATAGGAGAGGAGATAACTGACGGAATGAATGAGAACCTTTTGTTATCCACTTTCTTGAAATATGAAATAATGTTCTTTAGCTTCGATTATCTATAGATTTAACCAAATCGAATTTGTATGTATGTACATATATTTCGAACCGGGTATCGTAGTGTCGAGGCACCTATAGCCTTCTAGAATGCTTTATTTTGTTATGTTTCTGTCTCGATTTCTCGGAATCACTGATTAGAAATGCTGCTAATGGCTTGACTTTGCTGTTGAGAAAAAGAGAAAGAGAGAGAGAAAAACGGGTACGGCCATGGGTGCTCCAGTCCTTATCCCCATTACAACCCCATCCCTGTCCTCAGTCCCATCCGTTTCCAGGCCAATATGTAGCTATAAAAAAGTTTGCCATATAAGCAAGTGCTGTGTAAGTGGTGCTCCCCAATAGCCCCCAGCCACACAGTCGCACTCGCACTCGCAGTCCCATTCCCAGACCCTGCCTTGCTTTGCCTTGCCTTGCCCCTTGTTGGCATTTCATATTAATGTGCGCCGTTTAATTGCGTGACTCATCATCGGAGGAGCTCTGTAATCGCTGTCTGCCATCATCTGCTCCAGAGGAGAGAACTCGTTACGTTACTTACGAGTATTTGCCGTCAGCCGCGCGCCGACTTGTTGGGGGTTCCGTTGCATTGCCAGGCCTGGCTCTGGTTCTGGGTCTTTGAGCTGGCTCTCCTCTCGTCTCCTCTCCGTCGAGTTGGAGTGCCAGAAGAAAGTTGAACTCATAATTAATAAAGTATGTGGCTGATGAACGAATTAAGCTTCTCTTTGCCATCAGATTGATAAGTAATTTTCATCAGGAGAAATTAATATTTTAACGATGGCTGGCTTCGCTTTTTCCTTTGGTTTCGGGCTACTTAACAATCATTATCGCCGTCTGAATTATTGAAGACTCAGGGCTATTTCAGACACCCAATTATCGTATTCTCTTAATTTCAAATTATACCTTTCTTTGTGTAAGTTCTTCGTAATTAACCAAAGAATATCTTTTCCCAAAACATCGGTAAGTTGTTTCCCTTAAAAAGGGTTCCGTATCGAATGATCTATATGCAAATTGATCCCTTTATCGACTAAGTTCTACAAGGTGTTGGGACCGGAGTTTTACAAAGTATTCTTTAAAGAATTTTAAACACATTGAAGTACCATTTTTCCACTCTAAAGTTTCCCGTTTGCAATGCAGATTTTCACTTAGTACCAGCCTTGAGGAATATATGATTAGCCCATAGGATAGATCAGAATTTGAGATGATCGTATCGCATAAAGCTGTTGGCTAATCAGCCACTTCCAGCCACTTTGTTTATGCAATCTGTTTTCAGAACTATTCGCATTATTTGGATTATTTGTTTATTTTCCATATGAGTATTAGCGTGAAAAAATGCAGCCAACCTGTGTTTCAGATTGTAATGAGAGCTGCAAATGGTTTTTGTGCTGCCTTTGCATTTAATTTTCAACCATTTACATATTTGCGTAATCGGCCCAGTCCCAGTCCCAGCACCAGGCACTCCATTCTCAAATACCAAATGGCTGGGATACGATACAGAGACCGGAGACCGCGATCTGTTTGTGCAGTCGCATAGTTTCCATCGCGAATATACGAGTATATATGCTTATAGCGGATCCAGACTGACCAGTTCCAGGCCCATACAATATCCATATCCATATCCATATCCATACCATACCATGGAGTGGAATGGAATGGAATGCCAATCCATTCATTCATTCGCAGCGCGAGTGTCGGACGTCTGTCAGTCAATCAGAGAAACAGTTTGAGTAACAATTTAATTAATTTCAGTTGGTAATGCGAACCGAACCTGTTATGCGATAGATATTAGATATCATCGCGCTGCTATTTGGTTGCTGTGAATGAAATTGCCTCTTAATTATGCATAATGCCCATGACATGACTCAATTAAAGGCCAACAAATAAGCCAGACAGCCGCACAGATGACTGGCACAAAGAGTACTACTAAAATATTAACCCGAAAAAAGAGATACGATACCATGGCTAGATGCAGAATACGGACTCGTTTCGTGCACGTACGAGTATTAGTTTTTTGTTATCTTGCTCGGGTAATTATCACAGACAAAGACACACCGACAGACAAACAGACAGACAGACAGACAGACAGACAGACGGACTGTATCTCGAATATGCCGTATCTGTGGAATGTATCTGCCTGCTCGTAGTGCAACCATAACAAGCCGCCACCATCTGAGATGGTGTTTCTCTTCTTTTTTGTTGGACATGCAAAAGTTGAACAGGGTAGGGGATATTCGAAGGGGTATATCAATTTATAGATCCCATATTCATATCTTCATATCAGGGCTGCTCTATGTTGCGATTTGTTGTACCTTTCTAAGCTTTAAGTGAACAACATTTTCTTTCTGGGAAATGCAAAAAAAAAGTGCACTTCTGTGCAGCTATGAAGCGTTCTTAGAGTTTATCAAGTGTTCTCTGGAAATCCGACTATGCACTATATGTACACTTGGTCTGCATGATTCAGAGAACAATTTAATATATATTCTCTGATCGATTAGCCTGATTAGCCCTTCGATTTGATTGCATCAGTCTCCCCAGCTCGGGATCACGATTACGTTAGGGCCTATTGCGATTGACTGCCCTTTGCTTACGCACAGCAGTTCCGTTCCGATGGGTTCTGTTACTGATCCTGATTTGGGGTTTTCCTTTTCCATTAATGTTCAAGTATGCCCGTGTAATCATTTGTTTGGATTGTAAATAATTGCATCATCTGGCAGTGCAATGTTTTGCCGATTACGATTGTACGATGCAACCCATAATAAATGTCAGAATGCTGTCTGACTGATTGGACATGGGTTTGAGAGAGTGGCCAGGGGGCATGGGGCAAGTAAATACAGTTTTCAGTCAGCTAATTTTCCCATTGTCATCAATAGCTGTCGATGCCCAAAAACCGAAATGGCAGCAGCCCCGAAAACCCGCAAGCTCATCGTGAAATGGAAATTAATTATGTGTCAACAGCATGATTACAGGCGAAATTTAACTAATTTGATGCCAGAAATATACGCATATGCACGTAAATGGGTTGTTGGGATAATGCCCTAAGTGATTTATCTAGTCGTTCGATTAGTGTATCAATTTATTCTGCTCAGAGTCGGATTTCTCCGCCAATCAATGAATGATATTGATACGGATCTTTGGGGTTCAACACACACAGAAGTTAAAAATTGATTTCGATTCGCGTGACCGATTAGAAGGTTCCCGATTATGTACTTTGATTAATTGAAATTGATTTTTAGTTGCATCTGGCACCAGGGGTCATCGACTGTCTATCAGTGTCGTGTCCTCTGCTTTCTGGGAATTCCCAGCGCCCCTACAGCTATTTTCTGTGCGCAAAAACATGTCCACGTGCACATTTGGAGGCACTTTTTTACAGTAATTTATATTGATTATGCATCATATGTTAGTTATGGTTGTCTCTCTACCTCTCTCTCTATAAAAACAAGCAGGGGCTCCGCCATCTTATCTGGTCCTAGGAGCCTACGGCTTTGACCTGTCACTGTGTTGACGAGGAGATTCCAAGGAGGAAGGGTACGTAATTTATAGATTATGTATACCGTTAATGGGGCGGGGCGGTGTTGAGACTTACCTGTGAGGGGGCCACGCGGGCAGTACCCGTAAGGGGTGTGGGTGTATCCGAAGAGTCAAGGTGAATGGAAATCCAATTAAATGATTTTCACTTGCTTTTTGAACGTTTTTGGTTTCTTTATTGGTGAGCTGCTGAGCGCTATTTATAGTTGGGGTTGTTGGGGTTACCGTCAAAGGTCACCGTCACCGTCACCGTCACCTTGTGTGTGGGTGTACGAGTGGTAGTTGTTGTTTTTATATTCCGCTTTATTTTCCTTGGGGTTTTTTTATTTTTCATTTGGCTGTTCCTCTATTTGGATATCCTTTCTTTTTGGTTCACTTTTTTATGGCTGTTTCTTGTCGCTGACGTTTTACAGGGCTCTTCGCTGCTTCTGCTGCTGATTATAATCCTTAATTAGTCTAACGAGTTGCAAATTAATCCACTTTCCCTAATTAAATTGCCTCTCTGCCGCGACAAAGTTGAAAAAATTTCTATTGAAAAAAAAACCAACAAAAAAAAAGGATAGAAAGGCTTTACTTCGAGGCCGAAGCTTTAGATACCCTTTGCCGATTGGAGGTATACGAGTATGTACGTTTTTTTTTGCTGGTTTGCTCTGCAAACTCCTGCTAAAAATCAGAGTACCCTCTTCGAGGGTACACTACATAAAGGAAGGAGCAAAAAACTGCCTGAATTCCCAGAGCGATGGAGAGAAATGTAATTAATTCATTAGCCAGGCAATTGACAATTATTGATTATTGTTTTGCCTTTTGCGATTTTGAATTAATTTTAATGTATTTCAGTTTCAGTTTTCATGTAGCTGATTGTTGTTTTTTTGTTTTGTTCGGGCATTAGCGTTGCACAATTGGTTATGGCCCGCACGTTGTTCATTTATTTCATTTTTAATTATTTTGAAATGTGTTCTGGTTTCATAATTGGCAGCCCATTGTCTCTCAGAGTCTTTCTCTCTGCGCTTTTGTGATTTAATTAAATACATTGATATTTATTTATATATAGGTTGAATGGGAAATCCGACCAGGTCGGCTTCATTTGTCTTGCGCTCATTTTCAATTTGGGCTCTCGGCCTCGCCTCGATCAAAATGTGGCGAAATATTTAATTTGTCGTGCAGTTGAACAATTGTATTATGCCACTTAATTGTTGCAAGGTACGAGTATGCGTATCCATTTGCTTTTTGTGGTAAATATATGAAATTTGCCTGTCCACATGAAATGACAAATCAAAAGACAATTTGCTTGGTAATTCTGGTATACAAAACGAAAAATTTATAGAATTATTTATGAGCAAATTGTTTACAAATTAAAATGCGCAATAATTAGGGGGAATTTTGTGGGATTTTTAGAAAAAGGCGCAAATACCGACGGCAATAACTTCTTTATAAAATGCTATTAAATTGTTCTGTTAGATCTTCTGTTAGAAAGGGTTTCGAGGAGGCGATTAAGAGGCAATAATGATCCTAATTAAAGACCGTAGTATGAAGCCTGAGCATTTTGCTTCATTAATACCCAATAAAAATGAGCGTATCCTTTATTAAACACAGTTTATTATGAGAAATTGATCTGCTTTGCGAGATTTATAAATATTAATTGATTCATACATTTAAACCGTTATCATTTAAACAATTATTGTTAACTCGCTATAATATTACACGCGTAGTACTTGTTGGCCTGGTTTTATCGAATTTAGTGGCTGGCTGCTTCGCTTGCCATTTACAAAATAATTGGATTTTTGGTTTGTTTTTTGTTTTTGTTTCACTTGATGCCTTTTATAAGCTTTTTCTTTAATTTAATTTAATGAAAATTTATAAGCGTTTTATTTCATTTGTTTTCAGGAATGGAATTTATGAGCCCCGGCACCGACACCGACACCGACACCGACACAGACAATTAAAACTTGAACTTTGGGGCAGGGCACTGTAATGGCAGTTTTTTCGTATTTTGATTGCCATTATAAATGTATAGTATAGTAGTTATTCATTTGCTCTTTCTTATTTATTATTAATATGAGCAGAGCAACACAGCGTTTATGGCCAGGCGCGTAATTAATGGGAAACGAACACACGGCCGAGACCATAAAGTGGACTTCAATTACGATCCCAAAACACACACACACACACACACAATGCACACACATGCACACGCAAACACTCGGGTACACAGATACAGGTTGATTTCAGGCGAATGCTTTATTTATAACACCTTTTTGCCAAACTGAATTTAATTGAGTAATTGAAATATTTGTGTGCAAATGAAAATTGCCTTTTTTGTGCCACATGCTTCATAATTTATTTATGAGAATAATCGAGGGGCACACAAGCGCACTATGCTATGCAGTATCTGTGTATATGTGTGAGTATCTGCAAGATGCCAAATATGAAAATGAATTGAAAATCAATTGGCGGCAATGCGGCTGCGTAGCCTGTCAGCGTGTTGCGTCGCTTTTGACAAATTGCCCCGACACTGCCACTGCCATCGCCACCGACTGACTGTTCGTCCAAGAGAAGAGCGTGCGAACCAGCGGCAACGAACTGAAAGCCACACAAACAACAACAGAAAGTAGCACAACAAAACAGCGCGAAAAGTGGGCACAAACAACAGCAATAGCAGAGGTGGCCACCGCCACCATGTGTATCTTGCAGATACATGCGGCAGGGCAGCAATTAGCGGCCAATAGGCAGAAGTGTCGTGCCATTGTCTCCACTCCACTCCACTCCACAACACAACACAATTCTGATATGAAAAAATAGCTGGTGTAACATTTGAAACATGTATTTTCCAACAGAAGTGTCCCTCTGCACTTGCGGCTTAATTGTTGCTTGTGGCGGCCCCGTCTGCCTCAAGGGGTTGATAATTCCTACAGTCTGCCGGCCTGCCTGCCGGCCTGCCTGCCTGCCTGTCTCGCTGATGATATCGTATTATAAATTTTATTGCTGATGGCCGACGGTGGGAATCGGACGAAGAATCAACGCACAAAATAAACAATTTAATGGGAAATGCCAGGCAAAATCATAAAAGAAATGAGCCAGAATCCCAGTTCGATATAAATACTCATATATACCACACACACACACATAGATACAAATATACATATGTATGCAGATGTGTGTTGTGTGTGTGTGTGTGTGTAATATCGCCTAATGGCGCTTGACGTTGCTTTTTGCCCGCGCGCTAATTCCTTTGACCAGCAAATGCGACAATAACAAACAGACGAAATGCTAATTAGTTTCATGTGTGACTAATGGATACGAAAAGCGGCACACACACACACACACACACACACACACAGCTACAGCTACAGCGACAAGATACGTTTGCAGAGATACACATGCGTGACTGCCGCACATTGCTTTTGTTGTTGTTGTTGTTGTTGTGGCACACACTTAATTAAAATAGTACACTTTTGGGTAGCAGGCTCTGAGGGGGTCGGTCTCTCGGTGGGTCTCCCCATTCCCGAGTTGAGTCCCATTCCCATTTACGATAGAGAGAGGGAGAGAAAGACAGAGAGAGAGAGACCCACTTAGTTTTTGGCGTTTCTTTTGTATGGCCTCATGCCTAATTATAATTACGTGTATAATAAGCCCGGCGCGTAAATTGAATTTGACTTTTAGAACCCCGGTCAACGGGGTTTACCGGGTCTCTATCGCTCTGGGCATTGGATTGGATTCTCCACTCTAAACGGTTTTTGCGCGTACGCGACCTGCACGGCACGGCGTTCGGGCCAGGCAGGCACTCCGAAATACGAAATCCGAAAGCTAAACCAAAACAGAGCCAGAGCCCAGAACCGAATCTGAAGCGAAACCGAACGGAATGGAGCGCAACCCAGACCAGACCAGAGACCAGAACACACACAGCAGATCCGATACGATACCGAATCCGACTACGACCACGACGGCAACGATTCTGAACGACTTCTGAGTGCGAGCGCTATAAAGCACGAAAAACGACAACAACGATGGTGACGATGGACGACGGGCGACGGGCGAGGAACGACGGACGAGGAACGACAACAAGAACGACGACTGTGTGTTGCCGCTGCCTCTGCTGCCGCTGCTGTTGCTGTTGCTGTTGCTGTTGCTGTTGCTGCTGCTGCTTCTGTGAACTGCGCCGTGCAACTATTTAACGACGACTGAATGTGGCAATTATGTATCTAGATACATTTTGGCCAAACGCAGACTGCTGCTGTCTGTCTGTCTGTCGGTTTGTCTGTCTGTATTTGTGTGTGGGGGTTGCTAAACGAGGGAACCATCATAAAACATATTACTATAATTACAATTATGGTGCGCACTCTCACACTGAGCGGCACACACAGCCAGAGAGTCACACACAGATACAATACATGGCCATAGCTGGTGAAAGATAGAGATACAAACAGTTGCCGCGCGCACGTGAACATAACGCACGGCAATAAAACACAAATTTTCATATGCATTACGGCTTAATTGTATCTCGTTGGGGTCTACACTCGTTTCTGTGTGTGCGTGTGTGTGTGTGTGTGTGTGTGTCTCTGTGTGGGAATCTCATAAATTGGCGCTCGTCTGGCCGTTCGGTTCAGTTCGTTCCATCGCTTGGCAACATGTTGCCGCGGTGCTTGTTGCTGGCAGACTTGAGCTTTTGTATCTTTGAGGCTGACTCCGTTTGTTGGGCGATGCGATGCGATGATTATTAAATGCTGAATGTGTTTTATTGCTCTGATTGTTCCCTGCCTTCCTGCCTTCCGGCCTGCCTGCGCATACACTCGTATAGCTCTTCATCCTCTCTCTCTCTCTCTGCTATCCTCTCCTCTCCTCTTCGCACTAAGTATGCTCTGTTCCCCCCTTCTAGCTGTATCTGTATCTTTTGCATTGCAAATTGCCGACGTCGCTGGCTCTGGGCTCTGTGTCTCTGGGCTCTGTCTCTGAGTTTGTTTTTAATTCTCTATAATTGAGTTATATGTACATATACTTTAATAAGTTGGCGGCGGATGCTGCTCTGCGCTGCTTTTGGGGCGAGCGTGGAGTGGACTGGAGTTCATATTGCTCTGGTCAGGCTGTTGCTCTTGTTGGTCTTCTTGCTGTTGTTGTTATACCCTGCC